AGAAGAATGTGAGCACAATGAAGAGGCAGAACTGCTGACTCGAGAGATTGAGAACAGCCTGACATGAGTACCTAGCTGGTCATGGCAACTGGGACCATGGTGGGGTCCTGGCCTATGCTGCTACTGGGGTCCATGTCTGGGTCCATGGTCTTGCATGGTCCATGGTCTGTTACCAACAAAGTCCATGTGGACATCCTTCAAGGCTCCAGCCTAGGGACATGTTTGTGTCTAGGGGCTATACAGAATTGCCCCCACCCATCACATACACATCTTGGGAGGGCTGGCCCTGAGAATATGAAATCATGGGAGCTGAGCCTGTTCTTGGACAGCTGTAGTACTTAGAAAAGTGGTACTTCACACTGCAGGACTTAAGGGTGATCCAACCCAAGGATATGAGCATCCTACCATGAGCCCTACCATTAACCTTCCTAATGGTAGGGTGGACAAAGAAAAGAAACCCTCCCTCCTTCCTCACTCCTCACCACCTCCAGAAGGCAGGAGACCTTGCTCCTGGAGTTTATGAGAGCTGGAAAGCTTGCTATGCTTCTCCCTTGTTTCACCACTTGGGTGAGCAGGCCCTGCTCCTCACCTGGGTAGCATAGTAGAGGTGACCCTGGGAGAGCTGGTCCTGCAATTTATCTTCTGTTCAGCAGCAAGAGTAAGGTACAGATACCCTCCCAACTCTTGTCCCTTGCCACCTGTGACAGTCAGGGGAGCAGCCCTGTTCCTCACCTGCTGCAGTGTTCAGGATAGCAGAGCCTACTTTACAACTAGGCAGCACAATAGAGCTGACCCTGGATGTGGGGGTTGCAAGTAAACCAGCCCCAAGATGTTAGCATGAGAGAGCTGGCCCCACAACTTGTCTGCTGTGCAGTGGCATGAACAAGATTGACAACTTTGTCATTTCTCTTATCCCTTGCCACCTATGGCAGTTGGAAGAGCTGGCCCTGGGATCGTTAGAGTGGGAGAACTTGCTATATCCTTCACCAGCTGCAACAGTCAGTAGAGTAGGCCCTGAACTCCTGAGCAGAACTGTAGAGCTAGCCCAGGATGCAATGGTTGCAAGCAAGGTTGAAAACTGGAGAGTCAGTGGGCTGACCAGCTTAGATACCTCTCAGACCCAGATCCAGGTCTTTAAATTGGCCCATCCCAACATCTATACCATTGATGAACTGCTTGAGTGCTTGAAGGGATTAGTCTTACACTTCCCTAACTTCAGGATTTCCGTGACACAGGGCAACAACAGGATATCCGAGAGTAGTCCTAGTGAGGTTGCAGAATTGATAGAGTCTCAGAAACCAGAAGCCTTGTACCAAACAAAGTCATTTCAATGACTTTGAAGTGCGGACAAAAAGACATACTGTTGGACACATTGTGATGCACTGCAGCTTCCACAATGAAATTGTTTATGTTTCTTGAGGAAAAGGTTACAAGGGTGGACAGAGGGTACAAAAGGAGGAGAAGATGAGTGAGATTAGCTTACATAATGTAAAACTAACAAAGAACTGATAAAAATATAAAAAAAATAAAAGGCAAAGCAGGAATAACCAACTATACTTATAGAAGTTTGAGAGGAGAAATAATACCAAAGTTGCTTGATAAAGTCTCATTGAAACATTATCTTATATTTGCCTACAACTATACATAATATGCATATAATATACACATGTATGCACATATATACAATACATAGACACACACACATATATATGTACATATGTATATATGTATATATATGTTAGTTAAGTCACTTGAGCTAACAATGCTCCCCATAAATACTATGGACTAACAAAAGTCCCACAACTCATCATGAGAAACTGCTTTTTGAATGGCTACTCAGATTAATAAAAATGACTCCTAAAACTGTATAAATTATTGATACGGTCTTGTTTGTCTCTCAGGAGTTGAGTGTGGGTTGTTATTGCTGAGATATCACAGACTTAGGACACAGGACTCAGATCATTCGAGCTGGATCTGAGCTGAAAGCTTCTTTCCTCATGTTCACCAATCCAGATTGTACTATGTAAGCTGCCAAGGGAGAGAAAAATTAAGCAAGCTGACATGTTTGAAACACCTATGAGTCAAGCTAATGACCAAGAAGGCAATATATACATAGTGGAGCAATAAATGGCACTCACATGTTGATGGTACCCAAGACATTTCTAATAAGATGTAAGATGCCTCAGTAGAGGTCCTCAACATTAGACAAGGATCTATTACTACCATTTTCCTAGAGCAGCATAGTCCAAACTACATAACAAATCACATCCTTATACCAACAGATAAGTGTATTTACCCACCATCTTCACAGAAGCTTCTCTTTACTCCAAATGGGGGCTATCACAGAAAACCACAACTAGATGCAATACAGAGATCACTAGATTACAGGAAGCCCAGTCCAACAGAAACATCTCTATCACAGCTTCTGTATCTACGGCTTGGAGAAAATCGAGAAGGAGTGGGTGGAAAGACTGTAAGAGCCAGAAAACCAAGAAATCTTTTGTGAAACCATCTTGACCACATCAAAATATTAAAACACTGGCAGTATCAGGAGGCATGGGAACTTGGAAGGGAACATTTTTGAAGGGGTTCACTCCTAGGGGAAAAAATGGATGATTAATGGTGGCTCAAGAGAGGAAAATGAACCTCTTCCATGGATTAGCCTCTTTATTGATTGTCCAATGTAAACAGGTCAGCTCTGAAACCATGTATACACAAAAATTATGCATGTGTGTATATGTGTATATATATTTTTTGTATTTTCTGGTTATTCAATTATTTGGTTACAAATATATTTTTGGTTACAAATGTGTGTGTGTGTATCCATAATAATAAAAGAGAAAGATGCTATCAGCTTGAGAGTAGGGGAAGCAAAGTAAGGGTTGGAGGGAGGTGATATAGGAGGGGTGAGGAGGAGGACATTGTGGGAGGAAAGTGTCAGAATTACATTTTGATTTAAAGAGTGGTCTCCCTATTTTCTGTGTTCTCTATCAAATCTGCTTTCACAGTGCCTCATGTAATTCTTGCTGCGGTATCATTTCATACTGAGAATCAGGAAAAAGAAGTACAGGTGAAACTCTTGTAAACAATAGCATAGTAGACAAATAGTAGACAAATAGTTTAGCATTTCCTAAATGCTAAATGAGTTAGCAATCTGGGTGGGATTAAGAAAATCAAATATGATAAACACACAGAGTGACTCTCTTTAAACTTCATAGAAAATTGTTGAAATGATGGAAAAATAAAGAGTGGCCTATTACTGCCTAATGGGCAGGATACCAAAGGATTTGGGAGTGGTTCTGGGGAGGGGCAAAGAATTTGAGTGGGTGAGAGTCAGAGGGAACAGTAATGGTTGGGTGGAAGACAGAGAGTTGGCAAAGATACTGGAGATTTACCCAGTGATGTCATAGAGACAGAGTTTTATGGATGGTTGGGTGAAGAGTGGATAAACAGAAGAGAGACACGTTCCCAGAGAAATATGGGAAGTCTGGGTGCTTACTCATCCTAACCAAGTGAAGAGCTTCTGATCATCACAGTAATGAAGGTTCCAAGGCAGTGCAGTAGTTTAGGGAGTATAATTTGCATCTCATAGCCTTTCAGTAGGCAAGGTACTGTGATGATGCATTGATTCTCAATGTCATTCAGAAATATTAGTCAACTGACCTATATAACCCTTGTTAAATCTGAGCTTCTTCTCTGCCAATGTCTGCAATGACTGGCCTCATTTGGCTATAGCTCCTTGGGAAGAACTCATGTAAAAACAACATCACTGAAGACAATAACTAGAAGGAAAAGTGAGGAGCCTCACTGAGAACAAACTGGCAAACAGGGCCAACTCCTGGGAATCACACCTGTCTCATAGACATGAATCTCAAAGGAAGTAGTAGCTCATCTCTGCAGTAATAGACTCCCCCGTGAGTCCCATTACCACTTCCTGTTACAGCTCAACATCACTACGCTAACAATGGCCTCTGTCTTTGTAGTCTGTCCATCAGTTGAACCATCCTGAATATGGGGGCTCACTGGGCGGAAAGGTGATATTTTGAACACCGTAGCAGCAGCAACAATAATAAAATAACATTGCATGCCCTGTAGGAAGGTAGAAGACATTATGCATATGGTAGATTGCACAAGATTCAAGTCTAGAGTGGATATAACTGTCTGTCTGGGATATGCAATTTTACTCACCTTATGAAAGTCAAACACTTTTTCTGCAAAAATTCCATTGGCAATGCTGAGTTCATAATCCTTATGAGATGAGTTTATGTCAGCAAGAACTCTTTTCAATTGATATTGCAGTCTTGGCTGTTATCAAACAGAGGCATACAAATTCAATTTCATACTGCATACGTGCATACTATCACTTAACATGAAATAAAAATATATTATTCTATAAAAGAACTGGAAAATATTGCTTTAAAAACAGCAAGCAAATCCTCATACTTATCAGTGTCTTTAACCTTCTTCATTATATTGTCTGCGATCAAACTGAAAAAAGTTTAGTGAAATGAGATTAGCAATAGGACACTATCAATTAGTTCAAGACACATACTAATTAATTAGTCAAGAAATTAATTTACCT